TTAAACAGCGCTGCTAGGAGCCGCGTGCCGGGGTCCGCACCACGAAGATCACGGTAGGCGAGCCCGTCGGGGCCCGGCGCAGAGTTAGTCATACGCCGGAGCCGACGGTCCACCTCTCCCTCCGTGAACGGATCCGTCAGGCACGCTACGTCCTCCGGCGTGGCAGGCTCGGCTGGCTCCGCATCCGCACCGGCGTCGCCCAGGCGGCCCTCGCCGCAGTACAGCCCGCGGAAGTGCTGGTACACCCGCTGCCTTGACACTTGGCAAAGGTCAGCGGGGCCCTGTAACACCTCGCGGACCGCCCTGCGGCGGTTCCGCCTGTATAAGGCCTGAATGCGTTTTGCTTCGCGCACCCAGCCCCCGCGTCTTTCTCCCGAATTAGGGTGGTCAGCCGGCGCTGCCCCCTCCCCCCCCTCGCGTTGTGCGCCCCCCAGTCCGGCGTCCTCCGCCTCCGCCCCTCGACGCCCTCGAGGCCGACCCGTCCGGCGTGGACGGTCTGAGGCTCCGGACGGCTCTCCGCCAGCGGTTGACGCTGCTTCCTCCTTGAAGTAGTTCGTGACCGAAGCCGCAAACTCCTCCAAGTCCGCAATCGTCGCGACCGCCTCCGCCCGCCCGACCAGAGCGCCCCGAACAGCCAGGGATTCCCGCCTTCGCTGCCCTTGAGCGTTAGCGGGGCCCGGCTGACGGTGCGCCCGGCCGGCCTGGGCGTCGGCGCGTCCCCTCTGTCGGCGGGCCCTCCCGTGCCCTATGGGGGAAACAGGACGCGCAGGTGCCTCGTTTTCCCCGGAGGCCTGTACGCGGGTCCCACGGGTGCGCGGACGGCCCATGACTCCGCGGACATTCACAGGAGCACTCGGATGGGCGACGCTGGAAACGGCGTCAGTACCCACCGTGTCTCCTCCAGTCTCTTCCGTCCTCGGAAGAGAAAGCCGGCCTCGCACAGCCGCCGGCCTCAAAGTTGGAGAAGGCTGCCCCTCCGCGGGTGGTGTTCGGGGCAGCTCGGGATAATTCGCCGGCGTTAAAGGCGGGGGCGGGGGTGACGCGCGCGCTATCGTCGCC